TTGAGCACAATGTGTAGAGATCCATCCTCCAGCCCACCTCACCTTGGCAGGAGTTTTGTTGGGAAGAAGCAGTGGGATTTCATTGGTTCCATCTTTAATAGTTGAGAAAGGTTCTCAGAGTGTGACTTCTGGCTGCTAATCTTGGTGCCTGGGGAAGTTTAAGTTCAGGGTTTGGTACACTTGAATTATTTCCTTCTTGAATTCTCTATTCCATGAATGAATACACTCACTACTAGTATTATTATGTTCTAGGTATTTTTGTTTTGGGCATGATCTTTAAGAGCTCTGATTGTTTCATGTGTTGGTCATTCTTTAGTATGACTTAATTTCTTACTCTGACACTTTGAATATATGTTCTCTTCTCTGCAATGTTCTTTATGCAGTTCCTAGCTAAAATTAAGATTTCTTTAAGAAGAATTTCTCCATCTGAGCCACCTTCAATGAACTTTTCTGTCCATAGTCTCTGTTGGGCTTGCTTTCTCTTGAGTTTCCACACTGCACGTCTTAGCACAGCACACTTATCAGACTCTGAAAAATGGTTGATGGATCTTTCTCTATTGTATAACACAAGCTCCATCTCATGGTAAGAACGCATCCTCCTTGCCTTTCCAGCATCTAACAGCATCTGCTAAAAGCAGGAAGGAGAGAATGGATGTATAGTTCTAGATTCATGTGGATTCAATATTTGAAATCCCTTCTCCTCTTGGGAAAGAATATTTTTCTTAAAATGTGAAACTTTAAAACAGAATGTATACTTTTCTGCAGTAATCTCCCTCTCCATCCAAGTTTTTAGAATTGGGGAATTTTGAGGAAGATAAACAACATTATGAGAATGACTCCTCATCATTCTTGTCTTGCTTGACATTTACCTGCTACATGTGATTCAAACTGTATCACTTCAATACACAATGTCTATGATAATGAGCTTTTCTTAATATAGTACCAGCTGAACACCTTTCTCAAAGAAGGTCACATTGCTTTTACATACTTTATCTTAATTGTCTTCAGAATGTCTGTGCAGTTGGGTGACCACCCATTCAAGTTTCCATAATCTGACAATCCAGATCTCTATAAAGCAGATTTTCCCCGAGGGTCCAGAGAAGACCAAAACACAGCCCAAGTCTATAGTGATAGTAGCTGCTTTGTTGCCACTGCCCATATGCTCCCACGAGCCTTCTGGATAGTTTTAAAAGAGAAACAGAACAGCTGCAAGAAAATAAAAACTGGAATCATACTGTAATACTAGTCATAGGTTATAGAGACAAAGGGTTGTGGCAGTTTAGAACAAAAGACTACTTTCAGCTAAGGGAATATTGCAGATGCCCTCAAATAACTGTTTGGCTTCTTAGTTGAAGATCAGTGTGTTCCACATTGGACATTTTGTGGAAAAGCAATTTGGTCTAGGCTAGCCATCACTGGATTTAGAGTAAGGAGATTAAATTTCTCATCCCAACTCTTTACTGTTCACCAGCTTTGTATCTATCCTTAGAGAAGTTGCTTATTCCCTGAATCACACCTATAAATGTCTCCATTTATAGCAATGGACTATGATTTCTAGGACCCTTCACAGCTTCAGAGCAGAAAGATACTGCCTTTGTCCCAACCAGATTTTCTCCTTCAGTTCTCCATGTATATCACAGGTAAACCTGAATGCTTGTGACATCTGTTTTTGCTGTTGCTCTGCTGTTGATTACCCTTACTGCTTTTTTTTTTTTAGTATATACACATTGCTCCTTGAGGGCAAGAGTCATGTTCATTTCATTTCTAGTTACAGGATATGCGTGTATATTTTCTCTCTGTAAGTTTTATCTGACTCTTTAGTATATTAACATATGTAGGTCTTTTCTATCTTGAAATAAAAGCTGCCACCTCCTACTCTCACCCCATCTTGCACATTTTCAAATCTCAAGTGGAAGTCTTCATCTGTCATATCCATTGTTGTCCTACCCATTACGCCTCTTCTCCCTACAATGTGGAGTTTTGGCCCTACTACTTCCCAGAAACTACTTTTGACAAATTCCCTAGAGAATTTTTTGTTGCCTAATCCCAAAAGATATTTTGGTGTTTTCATTATGGTCTCTAGTAGCATCTGTTCTGACCATGCTCTTATTCTTGGTAATCCCTCTTATGGCTGCTACAGGATCTGTGTCTCCTGCTTCTCCTACCTCCCTGTCTGACCTTTGCTCTGTCCTCTTTATTAGATACCCATTTCCTCATGATCCATGGTTCTCCCATCACTGTTGACTCTTTTCTTTCTCATTGTCATCCTGGCAGCTTCACTGATGCTGTAGTATCCATTACCACATACCACAATGGCTTCTGAGGCCTGGCCCCTCTCTCAAGCTTGATCTCCGCATTTCCAACTTCTCTGTATCTCATCACATCAAATGTAGTATATCCAGACCTGTGCTTGTTAGCCTCCTCCAAAACTCCTTTCTGTTTTCCCTATTTGGGGAATGATTCTATCATCCATTTAGCTGTCTGAGTCTGGAGTTATCCTTCTTCATCTCATGACCTGCCAATTACCATTGAAGTTTAGTGTTACCTGGGCTATTTGCAGAAACCTTTTCACTGTCTTCCCTGGCTCCTGTGTCTCTCTTCTGTAGTCAGTCCTCTGTGCCATGGCCAAAACCGACTTTTCAACACTTCAAATTCTGTCTTTCTGCCTTTGCTACTTAAATCTGTACCTGACCATGAACCTGATGAAAGCAGTCTCAACTCAGAAGACGCTCTCAGACCTAGATACTGACACCTTTGTAGCTCTTCTCATTCCCTTCCTTACTTGCATGACAGGATGAACACCTTGCAGAAAGGAAAGCAGTGTACCCACTCTTACCTCGGTTTTGGGATAGCCAATGAGCTTCATGTATCATCCCTAGATACTAGGCTAACCTTCACCTTTTTGTTTTGTTTTTGTGGTACTAAGGGGTTGAAACTAAGACCTTATACATGCTAAGCAAGTGCTATACCACTTGAACTACATTCAGAGCCCTTTTGTGGCTGTATTATTTTGTTTAGTTGCTATTCTGAGTATATTTTACTAAATACATATCAATTACTTTCCTGAGGCTGGCCTTGAACTGTGAATCCTCTTGCCTCAACCTGCTGTGTATATAGCTAGGATTACAGGTGCACACTACCACAACTGGCTCAACCTTCACCTTCTTTTCCAGATAGTAAATTACCTACACCTCTAGACTCCTAGAAGCTTTTTCTTGCCTTTCCTCCAGCACTGGACATATTGCCTGACTGGCTACAGTAATGTTTCCTACCACACAGTAAGCACCTAAAAGGAAGGAACCATCTTCACTTTACCTGTGTTACCATGCCTCAGCCTAGAGCTCAACATGCAGTGGGTATTTCTTCCATGTTTGCTGATCAAGTGGACAGACACATCCTGGAAGGATAGTTTACTCAAAGACTATTGATTTTCACAAAACATTTTATCTGTCTTCTCCACATTCTTTAGCCTAAATCAGGTGTTTCTACAGTTTACCCCTGCCTGCTTTTTAAGGTAAATATTCTACGTTTATTATGAAAAGGCATGTCTACTTAGGATCTCTATACACATTACGTTCTTATTGTCTTCCCTGCTCCACAAATGAAAAGTATAAATGAGTGAAGTGAGCCTACTGGTAGATCTGTTCTATGCATAAGATCATCTTGGCCTTTTAGGGAAATGAAGCAGCTCTACATTATTTAACCTCTTATCCCTTGACAGTCCTTCCTCTTTCATTTTCTTCTTGTGTTCTAAAAACCCTGGCAGATATTAGGTGCACATGGACAGCCTGATAATAATTTCCCATCATGTAAGTGCCAAAGCCAAGTACCATTCTCCTTTCATTCAAATTAGATAAACCCAGGCTGTGGCTTGCTTGCAAGTGATGGAAGTCCATGGGGGAAATTAAAGGTTCACAGAGAACGGGACCCATTATAATAAAAGCATTTGCACAGCCAGTGATTCCATCCACCCTATGGCTTCTGTGTTCCTTAGGGTATGATGAAATGGGATGCAAGAGGACCTGTGAAAGTAGTTTGAGGAATTGGTTTTAATTGGAAATGGTGGTGACATCCTGTGCTTGGAGTAAACTCTGAGGATCACACACAATGATATCGTCAGCGTTGTATAAAGGGTTAGAAGCATCCTGAGTCCACCTGGATGTCATACCCAGTTGTTTCAAGGCCTTTCAGTTCCTGCATATGTACTGATTATGATCATAAGGCCCATGTCTCCCTCTTACCCTTCTTTCCCCTTCTCTCCCCCTTCTCTTCCCTCTTCTTCTCACTCTTTGCCTTTCCTCATACTCACTCTCTATGTTCTTCCAGTGGCTCTCATTCCTGTTCTATATTTAGCACATAAAAATATTACATATTGATGCCTGAATCAATCAACTGTTAGACTTTCAAATTATGCATAACTATGAAACCTGAATGAAATCCACAAAGCAGACATATAGAATAACCAGGAGAAAAACAAGGACAGTCTACATTTGAATAATACAATCACAATAACTAATTTTTGTCAACACATCCTAGGTTTTGTTTATGTATGAAGCACTTTACATTCGGTTTCTCATTTAACTTCTCATCACTCTGTATGCCAGCAGTATCTCCATCTCACCAAAGAGGAGGCTGAAGCTCAGAGAGGTTAAAACAGTAAATCCAAGATCATGTAGCTGTAATGAAAGACAGAATCAGAATTATCTACAATATAGAGGCAGAAATTGTATTAATTGTCAAGGCCAGTTTTGAGGTCAAGCCTGACTCCAAAGCCCCCAAGCTTTTAAGTACTATGTTTCAGTGCCCCTTGACTTAAAAGGCCATATTCCAGAAAACAAAACTCAAGTGTGTTTTTTAACATAGGTAGTTTTACCCAAGAAAAGTTTTGTTATTACTTACATGGTAACAAGAGCAGTACTCTAGTCATATAGTATCAGATTTCTGAGACTGGTTTTACAGTTGTTCAATCTGCCTTTACTTTCTCACTTTTGTATTTTTAGATGCATCATCCTATTCAGATGAAACCTGCAGATAGTGAAAAGTCAAACGGTAGGTGGTAACCAACTGCTTCTTCAATAATGTCTGCTTCTGTATAAGTCAGGTGGGGGAGAGGGGACTGGTCTAGCTACATTTTAGCCCTGGAACAGGGAGGTTGCTGACCCACTGCCTTCCACTGTGGTCAGCATATCTGGAGAAGTACACACTCTAGTCCTCTGTCATAGTTACCTCTGGTGCGGAGATCTGTGACATTTAAAGGAATGCCTTTCTATGACTACCTGCCTAAGGCTTGTCCTGTGTGATGGTCATGTGATATTCCCTCCAACACAACATAGAGAGAGAAAGGAGTTGCCCATTAAAAAATAGATTTTCTTGTTTTTTGTTTTTACTCTTTTCCTTTATTCCTCTTTGTCTTATTGCATTCTTCTCTAAATTGTACCAATACATTTACATCATAACTCAGCCTGCTGGTTAAGTAAATGTACACTCACTGCAAAAATATGCATTTGTTGAGGTCCATGAGATAATTGGAATTTGCCTCGTCAAGCTACTAGAGTTGATAACCCACATTTCTCTCTTAAGTTTTTGCTTCCATTTATACAGATGTTCTGTCCTTGTTTTGTTCTTGTAATTTCCTGAAATCTATGTTAAAAGAACCTTCCACCTTCCTATAGCACAGAGCCCCTTCGCCCCACAAGACTGGCATAATCAGCACGGCTTCCTTCCAGCAGGCAGTTTTGCACCTCATTAATTAGTAATGAGTGCAGAAGCCACGCACTTAGAGAGCTACATATCTGCACATGTAAATTATGGCTGGGCTCTAAATCTCCTCCAAGATATATTTTGCTAATTGTAGTACAGCCCATTTTCTGGCTTCTTCATAGACTAGAAAGTTGTAAAGATAATTCCAAGTTGTTGCATGGCACTGCTGGCACTTGGTATATCAGAGCTTTCCTGGACATGGAGCAAACACTGATACTTTTCCCACTGGCTCTTTAGCCCTATACTTTTCATAGTGAGAATTCACTTTTCCCATGTTCCTTTATCAGATACACTGAATTTAGTTCTAAACACAAGTTCTAACCTCTGCCACTGCTTTGTTGATAGAATATGATTAAGTTGCTTCATTCATTCATTCAACAACAACTTGTTGGTTACTTACTGTGGATCAGATATGTCTGTGGGGGAAGGTTAGCTTTGTAACAATAAACTTGAAAAAGAAAAGACTGCAAGAGACTGGTCTCATACTCAGTCTTCTGATTCAAGTGCCCAATGGATACTTAAATAAGCAACTTTGAATCTTATTTATAGGAGCAATGGTAATTATCTAACCTGGGTTGGCTTTTTGTTCTTCCCAGATGCTCCAATATGGTTTATAAGTGATTTTGTAAATGATAGAGCACTTCTGTAAAATATTATTGTTATCACTCAGAGATATCCCCTGACTTTATAGTGTTCTTTGCTCAGCATGTCTGCCTAGACACAAGGCCATTTCCTGTGCTAATTTCTGGAGCTCTTTTGCCCCAGAGGTGCCCATTCACCATCTGTTCTATCCCTTAGTGGCAGGCAGGAGAGATTAATCTTATATTTGTAGGATGAACCCTGTCATTGCACATCTTCTTGGAGCGTCTAGCTACCAAGAGATATTCTGAGCAATTCTCTAAACTGTCAGGGTGCTGGCTATGGGATTAAAGTCTCTGGAAAAGGATTTGTCTTATTTCTGAGCCTACATTGTATTTATAACAGCATGAATTAGAGAGCTGCGCTTTCTGAAAACATGACCTGAAATACCCAAATAGTTGAAACCTGAGGTGATTTCTTCTTTCATGTTTTCTGCTTTGCATATATATATACTCTGACATAGGAATCCTTTGCATAGGCAAGCTGCTGGGAGTTCTCAAGAGTGTTTTGCTTCTCTTTCTGTCCAATATCTGCTTTAAACACTGAAGATCATATTTACATTAGGTTTATAGTTACAGAAGACTAAAATTACCATGCACATGGGTGTCCCCAGACACCCAAAAGACAAGAAGTGGGCACAATTATTGCTAGGATAAGGAAGTGCCTAAAAATCGGGAAAAGCATGGGGATATACATTAAGGTCTTGAGAGTCTAGAATGGACTCTGCCCTTGTTGGCTGTGTCCTTTGACAAGTTACATAACTTCATGTAGCCTTAGCATCTTCACCTCTAAGAAGGGGCTACCATAGTGTGGCTGTGAACTCATTTTGTTATATCTGCCTTTCATGGTTGTTTGAGGATTACCTAAGTTAACATCTTATCTGTAAAGAGCTTAGTATATATAATATCTGACACAGATCTTTAAGTGTATTGTTACGTTAAGTTAACATAATTCCCCCAAGGATGATGTTTCAGTGCAGTCTGAGTGGCAGAGGCTGACAAGCCCAGGCTTTGGCTGTTTAAAATGTAGACCTGTACGTAGAAAGGAAACCCCCAAACCCTCTAGTGGAGCCTACCGTCCTCCCACTTTGTAGACTGACCTTCATTATCTACATTTCTACTAAGAAAAAAACAGAAGTTACAAATGGGCTAAAAGCTATGTTTCAGGGTTCGTTTTATGGAGGTTCCCATGGAATTTCATCTTGTATACATGAGCATATTTCATGGTTCTCCTTGGGTCTGATTTAAGAAACAGAAGAATTATGTGCTGTTCTAAAGTAGGTGATAAAAGCTGCAGCCCTTTCTGCTTCCACATGGCATTTCTGACAGGTAAGCATAGTTTTAAAAGCTCAAAGAGCACAAAGATTTCTTTAGCTCAGATGCTGTAAATAGCTGCTGTAGCTGTGAAAGAAGTATAACGAGCTCTAATTGCACTTTTATTGAGTTTGCTGACATTTATGTACAGCACAAAGGACTCATCACAGTCAGACAGTAACTGTCTTCATTATCTCTGTGCTCAGATTTCTAAAACTTTATATTTGCTGAGCAAGAAAGGGCTGCTAATCACAGATCAATTAATGATGGACAAATGAATTCCAGCAACACAACTTACAACTACCCTTTGAAACTCTCATACATCTAGAGATTCTGATAAAAGGAACTTCTGTGGTGAGCCCAGAAATTGCTAGATTGTTCCTAGGTCAGCCCTGTAGTATAGATCTTACTTAATGGGCTTCCTAAATCTCTGTAGTTTCTTACACCATACCCTCCAATTGACTCCAGTTTTAGCTTCAGCCTGTAGCACATTTGTACAGATTCACAACATCTTATTTCCTGATCACATTCTTCTACTGAACCTGGTATCCAAACAAGAAGAAGAAGAAAAAAAAACCCACCCTAAATAAGCAGTCAATAATAAAGCTCTTAAGAAGAATACATTGAAATAGCCAATTGTCAACAAAACACAACATATTTTTCCATTGCAGAAAAAAAATGAATGAGTGATATATGAAGTGAGTACTTGAGGTGTAGGTTTAAGGTTCTGAATTAACCACACAAGCCTAGTTATTCTGTTTCATTCTTCTTCATTTATACCAACCAAGCATTAGTCCTGGGTGTACAATAAGTGTAGGTACAATAGGAGGTACTAGCTGTGCAAGACTTAAAAGCAGTTGCTGAAGCTAGTCTCATGGAATCACCTCTGCTCCTGTGCTTGTATCTCTGAAGCTGGAGCCAGTATTGAGTATTATGCCATGCTTCTTGTTGCGAGGGGATTGTTTTTACTCTCACTAGACAGAGCGTATAAATCCACCCTGCTTTAACCTTCCAGCCTTACAACTTGTCAAGGATCCTTAAAAGCCTAGTATCCAGAAATGCTACTTAATAAGTAGACCACAGACTCCTTTTCTCAGAGCCTACAAACCCTCCTGTATTTATGCATCAAGTTTAGAGCTAGCAGAAGTCATGGTAACTAAATTTTGTTGGGGGGGGGGGGCAGGGGTGAAGACCTGCAAAGTAGGAATCACGGATGTTTCTATCCAGTCACTTTTTGGTTTACTCAAAGATGAGGAAATAATTTTGAAATTCATAGTGGAGAGACTCACAGATTTGGAGGCAGTAATTAAATGCCATATGTTAGCACTAACACATTCAAAAGTTGTTAATTAATTCAGGCAGCCCCAAATCCAGGTGTGACTTTGACAGATTTTACACCAGAGTGTTAGCACAGACTTACAATTAGGGATTTTTTTAATGAAGTTTCTATTCCCCTAACTTTAAAAAGTTACCCTTATACCTAAGACTTTAACCTTAATTCATGATACCAAGGGTGAACTTTAAATGGTTAGTAGTATGGAACCCCTTTCAGTCCTTCTGCTGTTTGTTATTAATGGGGGAGACCCCATCTGTGAGCACTTCACATATGAAGGTCTGGCCCTGCACTCACTGGCTGTCCTAGAGGAAAATGCAGGCAGGGACTATACCTTTCATTTCTCCTCCCATCCCCCAAGAGTACCTAGTAGTCTAGTATGAATATAGTAGTGTGAACATTTATGGAATCCACATCCTCATAGATTTTTTTTCTAAATGAGAAAACCAGGCATTCGTGGCTCACGTCTATCATCCTAGCTACTCAGGAAACAGAAATGAGGATTCAAAGCCAGCTTGGGCAGGGAAGTCCAATAAATCCAGGAGTAGAATGATCCAGGCTCAAGTGTTAAGAATGTTAGCCTTGACCAAAAACTAAGGGACAGTTCCCAGGCCCTGAGTTCAAGCCCTAGGACCAGCACCAAAAATAAAACCCACAACTTATTTTCCCATTAATACTCAGAAAATACTCACCAATAAAGTTACCAAAAAGTGATAGCAGAGTTAAGTGAATTCAAGATAATTTTGTTTATTTAGAATATTTACAAGGGGAAGGCTGGGAATAAACGTTACAAAAAAAATTTTCCCTGGAAGCTGGGATAGCTCAGGGGAGAAGAAAGATGTTTAATGACTCTCATATTCCTAAAGCCAACATGGCCAAACTCTTGTGACCACAAAGTAACTTCAACTAGTAACAGATTATAAAGGCCCAGCTTCCTGCACACATGCAGCAAAGAAGACTAGCATTTTGAGCAGCATATGAATGGGGAAGTTTCCTTTTTATTTCCCCCTTTAAGTAATCATTGTTTTTTGTTTTAAAAAGAATTACCCTCCTCTCATGGCCTGGCTGGGCTTATCCTTAGAGATGGCTATTCTTAGTCATCAGGTTTTCTCATGAGTAATTTCCATTTTTTGAATATTCATCTTAGGAAAAGTCATTTTTTAGCTTACTTTAGTAGCTACATTTTGAACTTACTATAGCATTACCCTGGAACTCAAAACCTGCAAATTGTATGAGCCAACCACCATAATTAGAGGTTTACCAATGAACACAGGGACCAAGTAAGATTTTTTCTTTTACTTAAAAAAACTGAAATAAGATCTTCCAAGGTAGGAGAAATACAACAAAAATTTTGATTATTCTCATACAGGTGCCCATCTTATTTTGGTGGGTATAGGAGTCTCAGAGATGAGAGGGAAGAAGAAATAACAACTGCAAACTAGAAGTATTTCCTTCTGTCCTCTGCCTTATTTTGATCAGTTCCATCTATCTCCCCTTTCTCAAGAGAGTACTCCTTTCCACAGGGCTACTCAGCCCAAATCCTCCCATGTGAACAAGTCTAGGCATCATAGGTAGCCTAGAGTCGCCCTGAGCTTTAAAGAAAGCTCCTTGCTGGGGCTTCTTGATGTTTCAGTGTTGGTGTTCCTTGCTGTGCCTGACCACTAGGCTTAATCCAGTCCATAGTAGATCATTGGTATGAGACTTACATTGAAAAATTCTCAACTAACTAAAGGCAGTCAGGTGTTCAGCATCCTCTCTCCCAGTAATCAGATTCCATCAAGCTTGTTGCTCATGACTACTTTGAGTGTGGACATAAACATCGTCCTTTGACTGGCCAGTACTCTCCTTGTCTTTGAGCCCCTTCTTCACCCCTGTCAGCCTTCTATCCTCTAAAATTAAACTCCTGCTACTGTTAACTCTGTGTCAGGCCTAGTTACTTGCTTCCTCATCCCACTGCTAGTCTATTCAAAGATATGTGCTTCTTAAAAGAGCCTTAGAGTTTTTCTGAGTTGTCTTACAAGGTATCCTAAGAATGGAGAGAGACTGGGTGAGAATGACTGAGCATCACTCCAAGCATCTGCCACCTCCAATCAGCTAGCTGAAGCATATAGCTGAGCTACCTTCTCTCCAGTGCTGTAGGGCGGGGGGGGGGGGAGAAGAAAAGAATAAACCTGCATCTCTGGGTGAAAAAATTGTGATCCCAGAAGTCCCAAAATTCTCCAACATCAACATCAAGTTAATGGCAGCATAGAGAACCTAAGTTTTTTTTTATTTGTTTTTGTTTTTTGTGGTTTTTTTCATCATGGCCTTGGCTGTACCCTGTAAGACTCATCTGCTTCCTCTGCATTTGAAGCAAATACAGTAGATGGAAAAGAACACTGGAGGCTGGATGAATAACATATTTCTCAAGTCCCTCATCTACATTCTGGAATTTTATGACAGATTGTTCAGCTGGCTCATGTAGATTCTTCAAAGCTATACTGCCCTCTGTAGTAGCTACATGGGGCTTTTAAATTAACTAAAATGAAGTTACATTTTTAAAAAAAAACTCAGTTCCTTAATCTCATTAACCAGTTTTAAGTGCCCAGTAGCCATACATGACATCAGGTAATATTAGAACAGACACGGGACTTTGCTGTCACCACAGGGGATCCCGCTGCACAGGGCTCCTCTTGAGTGGCCTGCTTCATGAACAGATCTTCCCCAGCTTCAAGAGGGCACAGACTACATATTTTAATTGGAACCCAGAAGCAACTGGCCCCCATAAGTCTGCAATAGATCTTCGTTGGTTAAATGAAAATAAGATACTGTCCATCCACGAAGGACAAAAAGAAACAGAAATGAGAGAATTTAATAGGAATGACAAGATTATAAACAGATTGAGAACAAAGATTTATATACATCAACCTGTGTCCAAGCCAGGACTCTGTAATTCCTAAAGTAGCCACTTCCTTTCCTTCCTTCCTTCCTTCCTCCCTCCCTCCCTTCCTTCCTTCCTCCCTCCCTTCCTTCCTTCCTTCCTTCCTTCCTTCCTTTCTTCCTTTTCTTTCTTTCTTTCTCTTCTTTTTCCTTCTTCCTTTCTCTTCCTTTTTCTTTCTTCTTTTTAGTACAAATAAATGGATTGAAATGAAGCAAATAAGCAAGCCTTCTCCCCGTGAGCATCTATGATGCCTAAAAAGGTTAAAACAACTCTTTTAGCACTGTGCTAAAATCAGTTATAACCCAGTCTTTCAATCTAAATATAGGCCACAAATCCCAAGCACAGCATGGAGACTTTGAGAGACTCTCTGGATCACTTGAAGCAGAAGTTGCTTCATTTTTACCCTGTCAAATTTCAATTTGCACATATTGGTATGATACCTAATGTGCATCTCTCCCTCAAAAATCCTACCTCCAAGTGATTGAAGGTAGAGTTTCCTCCTCGTACTTCTCTGAAGTTTTTTACCCCTGTGCGTACCAGGGGTAACAACACCCTACTTCCCTTTGCTAGGATTTGCATCTGCTTCCCTTGTAACCACCCTGGGTGATTAGAATCAGGTGAGGAACCTAGGAAAGCTATACTGCCAAGGCAAGGAGACTTTCCTAGCTCTCCAGAGAAATGAGACTCAGTGGTCTCTGATTCTCGTCTTGATCAGTGGACTTAGCTGTTTGAAATAGAATGAGAAAAGTACTCTCTTCCCTTGGAACCTTTGTTAGAAGCTTCATATGCTGTTAAACTGTATCTCCTATTTCCCCTCTTCTGATCTTTCTCTTTCTGTAGCATGTATAAAGTAAAATAAAATTTGTATCCAAACTCATCTCTACACAATGGTAAACACCACAGAATGGTAATGTTTGACAATTACATAAGTACTTTAAAATTTTTGTAAACATAAACATCTTACTATTAATTTTATTTTAGCAATACTGGGGTTTGAACACAGGGTGTCACCCTTTCTAGGCAGGTGCTCTACCACTCAAGCCATGTCTCCATCCCTTCTTGATTTACTTTTCAGATAGTCTTGCACTTCCCCATGCCAGCCTGACTGAAATCCTCTCATCTTAACAGACATGAACCACTTATCCAGTTCATTTGTTGAGATGGGTCTTACTTTTTCTCAAGCTGGCCTTGAATCACAAACTTCCTGATCTCTGCCTCCTTAGTAACTTGGAATGCAGATGTGAGCCACCAAACCTATGCCCATTGATTTCTGAATGGATAGAAAAGGATTTTCTGTGTCCTATGAAGACATCATGTTAGGAACAAGAAGACTACAGAGAGATGAGGTGTTCTTGAAGAGCAAGGTAAAGGGAGAAGCAGGATCTGGTATCTAAGAGGAGGGACAGACTGGAAGTCTAGAGTGAGCTTTAGGACTACACTCAGTCTTACGTGGCAGGGCCTAGTCTGATGTGGTAATGAAGCATTGATTACAAGAAATAAAGATGAGATGGCCTTTGCTTATTCATTCTTTTTATCTCCTAGCCGTGGAAGACAGAAAATTGTTCATAGGAATGGTTTCAAAGAAATGTAATGAGAACGATATCAGAGTGATGTTTTCTCCATTTGGCCAGATAGAAGAATGTCGGATTCTCCGAGGACCCGACGGGCTGAGTCGAGGTGAGTGTATTGGACCTCTGAGCCCCAGTCCAGGTGGATTATGTACTATATACTGCAGAATGTCACCTTGTAATGCATCCCAAGTGACAGAGTGATCCAGCCTGAATTTTCACTCTTAACTGAAATGATCACTTCTTATTTCCCAGGCTTGAGTGCCAGCATATTAGCTTGGATCATCACTGTCACATGGTTACCTGCCAGGCTGCCCTATCACTGCACATTCCTTGCAACCTGAGATTGAAGCAGGTTTTAGAGAGAGGAGCTTTGCCTTAGTCTTCTGGCTTTCTCCCTGAGCCTAAAGGAAATGTTAGGATAGGACCCTCTCAACAGCGTTCCGAGCCAAGAAACAGTGACACTGCTTTTGTGTGCAGTAACTCAGCTTCCCTGGGGTCTTGAGTTTCATTTCAAAGAGTGAAGCCCCTCGAATCCCTAAGCCATGAGTCCTTCAAATGACAGGAAAAAAAATTATTTTTCTCCTGACGAAAATTGTAGACGCTTCTTTTGCTACCATAATAGCAATGTAATTGTGGCCAGAGCCATGAAGGACCTATGTTTTTGCAAGAAATAACCTCCTCAACAAGACTGCATACCTCCTTTCTTAAAGTACTCATAAAGGTTGGCCCTGAGTAGTAATTGTTGTCTGGCTATAGGGTCCCAAACCAGTATGAAGTGGAAATATATATAAAAAACATTTTTCACTTCCATATTTTTTGCAGCAAGTTCTGGTTCTGGGCTGTCACTAGCACCCAAGCCACATGCTGAAAGCAAACGTTGGGCTGTAAGTATCAAGGTGCTAATTTTCACCTGTCTCCCTAGTTTTACCAAATTTCAGTATCTTGTGAAGTTGGACATTTGTAGCAGCTTCATGGTGTCAGCTGCTAGGACTGAAAGCCCTGAAGAAAAATATTCCACCTACATCTACCTCCACAATCCCCAAATGGAGGTGATCTAAAAAACTGGGAAGTAGAACAGCACCCAGCTTTCAATTCCTGTTCAAGGGAGATAAAGAAGCATCATTAAAATCATGGTTTACACATTCTGGAACAATTCTGAAATGCTTTTAACCTAGTCCTCACTTCAAAGATGTGATTCTCTAAAAGTTGTACACGATACTGAGGATGATCACTGAACAAAAGATCTGGTACCTGAGGCTTGTCTGAACCTTATCACCTGTGCTGCCATCACTGTCAACCAAATAGTCCATCATTGTAGTAGAACCACCTCTCGTTCATGTACAATCTCACAGAAAGAGTGAAACTAGGAGAGTCATCCTAGCCAACTCAGCCATGAGAACTTCTAGTCCACCTACCATCTACTGCTACAGTGTTTTATATGTGTATCTCCATCCATTTGCTTAGGCAGACAAACCAAGATAGCGAATACCATGGAAAAAGGTAGTATGGCTACATAAAGAATAAAACATACAGGAAAGATAGGATTATATTTTGATAATCCCTTTTCTGCTGCTATTTTAATTAGAATCCCTGTTCTGTTGTTATACTCAGGAGTGTATCAATATTATCATTATATTTTTCATTCTCCTCCATACAGAGCACAGAGAAGGCATAAAAGGGTAGGCCCTCAAATTAATCACAGTGGAATTATCAGTGGTTTAAGAGTCAATGGCCCTAAGTTTCAGAAACAAAATTTGTTAATATGACATGTAACCAATTCCTTTTCCTATCTCTGTCCCTCAGTTGTCCATTTCTACAAGATAACAGTGAAAATATCTGCCCTGCCCCTTTCATAGGGCATCATTAATAATCAGTGTGGTCCTTTTTGCCTAAGCTTACTCTGTGTGTAGGTGAGTAGAGACCTTGAATGTGAAATCTCAGTACAAGATTTCTCTCTCCATTTGTAAAATGACTTCCTGTTTGACTGTTTCTCTCCATTTCTCCAGGAGGAGCAGGATTGAACAGTTAGAGTACCTTGAGCATACATTAGTTATTTCTGCACATAAGATTTTTAAGTACCATAAATTTCATGGGAAAGAGCAGGGCACTTGGTACTTAGCTAAACTTAGCTAATTTGATTTGCCATTTGGTTGATTAACCAGCACTTCATACCAGAAGCAGCCTGTCTCTGAAACAAGTTGTGGGAACCTTCTCATCAATATTTTACACAGATACTGGCTCAATGTAAAGAGGATATACCCTCTCCCTTTTTTGACAGAAAAGTAATTTCTAGTGAACCGATGAGAATTCCCTATTGGAAAAAAGAAAATAAACATTTGTTCTGAAATACAAAGACAGACAGTGGTAAATTTATCAATTAGCAGGACCCAGAGACTCCTGGCTACATAGGCCTGCTCCTATATCCATGTATTTGTTAAAAGAACAATTCCTTCATGCTATTGTTTTGTTCTCATTAAAGAATTGTGGGTTTTAATCAAATATTAATAATTGTCTCCAATTAATGGCATTGCAAACAGAAGGTACTCAGCATTTCTTTTGGCATTGTCTATTGCTGGTTCAACTGTTTAAAAAATAGGTAAATAGGGCTGGGAAGGTGGCCCAGTGGGAGAGTGCTTGCCTTGCATGCATGAGACCCTGGGTTCAATTCTTCAGCACCACATAAGCAAATAAAAGTCAGAAGTGGTGGTGTGGCTCAAGTGGTAGAGCAGTGGCCTTGAGCTGAAGAGCTGAGGGACAGCGCCCAGGCCCAGAGTTCAGGATCCACGACAGGCCCCCCAAAAAAAGAAAAGAAAATAGATAAATAAAAATTAAGCAAAATGAAAGCTTGGCTTCTCTGAAAAGTATTTTCTGCTACAAAACCAGAGCACAAACTATTTAGTAAGAAGGTTTTAAAGAGGAACTATTTGATTATGATGAGGGTGTGATGCTTTTTATCCATTTCAGCTCTAAGTATGAAGATAAAGGGGAGACCATAGTGTAGCTGGGTCTCCATAGATTTCCAATGCATTTCTTCTCTGCCACATCAGTAGTTTCAACTCCTCCCTAATAGGCACTCCACTGAGATTTCTCCGGCTTATTGACTCAGTACCCCTACTGTATCAGTATTGTAGACTGCCTGGACCCATAACACTACCTATCAAGACCTGCTTACACCTATAGTTGGATTCACTACATTTTAAAAAATAATCATGAGCTATGTATCAGGCACAAAGACTTAAAAGTCCTAGCACCTGCCAAGCACATGAACCCTCTCTGCAAATATTCAGACTCATCCTCAATTAGGCAGTATGCCATCTGAGTATGCTTTTCCCTATTCACAGGGAGTAACCCATTCTTCAGTCTTTACTATTTTGGGAAATTTGGCTTGTTTTGCTTTCATTCAGCTTAAAGTTATTCAGACTATTCTGCAATGACTACTGAAGTTCTTAAGGTCCATGAGGGAACTTCCATTGAGAAAACAAACAGGCTTACCTATTGCAATGCACATGAGATGTTTGCTTTTAGAATCAAAGTTAGAGGTTTCTAAAGCAAATGTTTTTGGCAGTGTCATCTTAGCATGTTGATTTCTTAAAGTATACCCACTTTCTGAATCCATACTTCCCCAGTCAGAATCTAAGATTTAAGAACAGTTCACATCACTATCTGATACCCTAATGCACTAAGTTTTCCGCACCATGGCAATTGAATATCTACAACAGGAAAGCAATGACGTTCGTTTTTTCTCTCCACAAAACTGTAGTCACATCTTCACTTCCATTTAAGGTAGCTTTTTGCTTGTTTAAGAATTTTTCAGCTGTGTTTATGATATTCCAACATTCCCCTGCCAAAAACCCTGGACAAATGAATTGGCGGTATTTTCATGGATGCTGGAGAGCACAGACTAGATTTGGCCATTAAATCTGCCTTTGTTTTTGTTGTATCTGATCAGGATATATTACAGCTTCAACTACTTCAACATGTACATAAAAAAGACACAGTCTTTGTCACATTTTAGTCCTGCCCACACAGTACCTAAAACATTCACATATTCAGAACTTCTATCACATGGCCCCCGGGGTTATTGGCTACATTTTACCATCTCATTCTGAGTACAGTCTCCAAATCTCATCTCAACAATGACATTTTGCCAGCTACTAAGAGGTCCTAGTCTGCATTCAACCTCAGGTGCCATAAATGAACGATGTCTCAATGCCAGTTTTCAATAAACTAACCTATTGACTATGGTGCATTAGAATACTAATTTTTATCTCCCAACATTATATTGGTATCCTGAGCTTGATCAGTCCTGCCATTGAAAAATATACAGTAATGAAAATTGCTTGCATTAATATCTTTACTAGGAATTTATAAGAAGTTTTCCCAAAACGGAAATCTCCTTCATGCTGCACAGTTAAACTGTGCTTCTTTTTGTTAAAATATAGCTAAAAAACCTCTTTCAAAGAGGAAACATCAAAACAAGAGGTCCTGACATTGTTCATACTTTTAAAAAGTACCTCTGCTTCTCTATTGGTAGGAGGTAAGTAGGCAACAAGAATTCACCTAGTTCTGTAAAATTCTCATGCAGCTAAGAGGAAAGTTAAAACTCCTGAGCCTAGGATATCCTTTCAGTGGAAATGACAAGTATAATAGATGTGTTCCAAAATCTTCTCTGTGACAAGGCTCTGTGCTTTCCTTAGATCCTGTCTGTAGGAGGAAATTACTTTCTGAAACCTTTCCCAAGTCAATCATCTATCTGTTTTAGCAGCGAGAAGGTAACCTCACCGAAATAAAAGGAATTCAACTTCTTCCATTTCTTTTAGGAATCTCTCACATTCTCAAAGTGGAAACAATAAATAATTGTGAGGGAAATTACAAGTTGGCCACATTTACAGATGGGTAGTGTTGTTGCTGTTCATATTTGGAAGTTTTACCATAATTTCCATATATATATATATGCTTAAGCAAAATGAAGTATGACTTCATTATTTTGATACTTGTATATTTTTCCCAGTCTGATTTCTGCAGCTCTTGGGTCAGTTGCCAGAGAACTGATTGCTAACATAACACATTCAACAGTTCTAAACAACTAAAGGGCTGACACTACAAGATCAAGAGCTGTTGTCCTGTCCAAGCCCAGTTAACTTTGATACATGCAGAAATTCATAGTAGAAGAAGGGACCAATTATGACCGAGGTTATTTCAGTCCAGTGCAAAGCCTTATACTTAGTTTGTGAGAAAAAGCCAGCAGCCAGTTTTACTAGCAGGAATCATGTGATCCTGTTAGTAAAATGCCACAAATTGGAGGCTTATCCCAAAGCTACCAACTGTGTTTCCAGTGGTGTTGTCAAGAAAATTAACATCTATCCACAGCACTGCCATGACCTCCTGCTTTAAAGAAATTGCAAAGGTTAACAAGCTACTATTCCAAGAAACATTGGGTTCTTAAGTTTCTTAACTTCATCCAGAGTGGCAGAGAGTGAAATTCTTCAACATGAACTCCTATTTTATAAATGACACAGTACTTTTTTTCTTTTAAGTAACTGAGCATAGTACACAGTAAAGAACTTGACAGACACCCCTAAGGAGGATAGCTTCTCTCTTACTGCACCACTGCCAATAGACTAAAAAGGTTAAAGAAGTCATCAGATTTTTCAGTCAGTTTTTTGATGGGGTAAAGAGTGTAAAATTAGAATCATCAGTTGAGTTTTAAATGGCAGGTTTCTTGGAGGAAAGGGCAATGATTCAAATTTATGAAGATTTAATTTTGTGGTTGTATTGCATCAGAGGCTTGCTAATTGCTTTATCTTTCTCACTAAGTTACTTACAAAAGTTCTATGAAATGGTAAATATACAAAGTGTGATTCTTGTTGACATTTTACATGTTTTTAATGTACTTTTAACCTCCATTTGGAAACTGTCAGTTGGCACATGTTCCTGGATAACAAGAGCAAATGAAGTGAACATAACAATCTTGTTGACTAGTAAAGGCAGAATTAGACTAGGCCTTGCATAGCTCCTTCTATATCTCTGTTAAACACTTTTGTCTCCACTGTTGTCTCTAAGGCAAAAAAGATAGAAAAATAAAAATCTCTTGGTGTTATTTTCTCTGTATAATGTTGGCAGTGGTCATAACATTTTTAAGAGATATTACTTTGAAACAGATGGTAAATTTGAGACTATAATTTTAGACCTCAACATCAGTATGAAAGCCAGTAAAGGTACTGTCATCTGTCTCACACTCTATTACACATATCACTTAGAGGTCTTAGAGAAGGCTATTAAATTGCTCTTACAGATGACAAAAGCTATTGTCAGCCTAGGTACAGTACAGACAACTTGTTTTACATAGTAAGCTTCATCAGCTGCTGTCCTGTCAGAACGATATGATACAGCTCATGATGAGCTGGACTTCATTCCAACTTCTTTAGGCCAGCTTAACCACGAGGTGAATGGATTTTCCATATACTGAGAGATTTTGCATATGAAGAACTACAGCATGATACAAAAGGGGAAAAAATGCATTGACTTATTTTCATGATTGGATGTCATTGTGTGTTGGGGGTAGTGGGCAGGCAATGCCTTTTCTTACTGTGGTTTGATTACAAGGGGCCTAATAGCAGTATTGACTTGATAATCTCACCAGGTAGACATGCAGAGCAAAAGAAGAAAATATAGTTTATAGCTCCCAGTTGATTCACATAAACCAAACAATCTGCTAGTTGTTTGAATGTAGAATGTTCTATTTTGTTTATTGGCCACAGGGGCAACAATCTCAGATTGCTGATGCCAGAATTCTGCTTTCATGCGTTTGCTTTGAAATGACAATAAGCTTCAGCCTCTCAGTGTTTAGATCTACTTCATTTGGAAATCTTTTTAAGTAGTAATAATAATAATGTTTTGAGGAAATTGAGTGGAACACTGAATTATTCTCTGATACCTAAGTTCAAACTGTGCAAGGCTAAAGAAGCTGAAAATCAATGCACTTCTAAAGTCATTAGAGATCATAAGTGAAATAAGTCTGTATTGCTTTAGCTAAGCTTTTAGTGCACTGTGGTATTATTATAAAATCAGCCTGAATCTGCATTAATTTCACAGTCTTTTTCTCTTAAGAAGCCCAAGGGTACATGATGAATAAAATGTAGTGTTTTTATTAGTGCAGAGGGCAATGAGCCGTGTAGTTGGAGCAGTGACCTGCATGGTGGCCAATGCTGCTACAAGAAGCAGGAACCAGCATTTATAGATTCTAGTTCTTTTACAACACTAAAAAAAACAGACGTGGAAAGCTTTACAAGTCTCACAGTAAATGTTCAGAGAAATGTACATTGTCTTGTGTGTTAAACTTCAGATCAAATCTCTGACACATTTCACAAAGTTACAACTCTCAAGTCATGAAGATTTCATAAATCCAAGGCAAATTTTCAAGTTTTATTTTTATACACTATTGAATATTCTCAAAGTAATAAAGCATTTGTTTTTGTTAATAATTAATAGTTACACTAAAGCTATTATATGCTATTTAGTATTTGTTTACATTTGAATAGCATCAATTTATATTTATACATAATGTTTTTTTAACTACCCAGAAGGAATTAGATATATTTGTTGATGCATTGAGCTCTTAAAATTTATTTGCTAATTTGCTCTTGGTGTGAAGATTTTATTTACTTCCTAGATGTCAACAATAAAATTTGAAATGCAAATCCCTGATATGGGAATGTCCTCAGTGTAAAGACCATCAGCCAAGGAGAAAATAGAGAATAACAACTTTTCATGTTAGAAAATGAAAACTAGATCTTGCTAATTTCAAACCCTGTGGCTCAAAAAAAATACCTAACTTCCTCTTTTAGTGCCCATTAAAAAATTAATAAATCTTTCTACTTTGGTCAGATTAGCAAGTCAGCACTGTGAATAAAAAGCAAAATAAGATAAAACCAAAAAGAGTTGTTTATTTTTATGTACTACTGAGAACAGTGTCGTCTTGTGGCAGTTCTCGTAGACTGTGTTGGTTTAACAAGCGTCCAACCCTTTTGTCTTGTTGTTTTTTGTCTTTCCTGCTCCCTGTCCCCTTGTTTCCCACAGGCTGTGCGTTTGTCACATTTTCTACAAGGGCAATGGCACAGAATGCAATCAAAGCCATGCATCAGTCTCAGACCATGGAGGTACTGTATCATCTGCCCTTTCTTTGTTTTCTTTGTGCAAATGATGGGGAATGGTAAAGCAATTCTCTCCTGTGTGGATTGTTCACATGACAATCACAGATTTCAATTTTTACCATCTTGGTTTTTCCTTTCTTTTCTTTCTTCCTTTCTCTCTTTTTCTTGCTTTTCCCCCCTTCTTCCTTGTCCTCTCCCTCCCTCCATCCTCTATCTTCTCTGCATTTTCCCCCTAATGACTTGAAATGCATTTAGTAAAAACCTTCTACTTGCTCTCCAGTTATTTTTTGAGCCTTTAATTGGAGCAGCACTGGTCATGAGACATTTTAAGCAAAGTGTCATTCTGGATCTAAAGAATTAAATACATCCTCAAAAGCAGAGCCTAGTGTGGATTAACACTGACACCCCACCCCAGATTGCTGCTTTCCCAGTACTGAGTCACAAAGTTCTTCTTAGATGGAGGACCAAATTGTCTGTAATACAGTCAAATCAAATTGTGGTTCTGCATCTCAAGAATATTGGAGAAGTTAATACTTCTTCCACCTAACAGTGAGATGTTAATTAATTAGAGTTCTTTGAAAAAGTAGATTTTTCCCCCCTTCCTTAACAAACATGAGCAGCAACCGAGAAACATAAAAAGGCTCAAATCTGGTCTCCTAATGAGATATAGTGACTTGAGGGAAAGTCAAATACACTGGTGTGGGTTTATACCTACAAGTGTAGATTGATGGCACTATATTTTTAGTCTGTGATTTTGGGTCATGGCCTTTCAGAATTTTGCACAAAAACATTCCAAAGTGATATGCCATTACTTACTCTGTATTGTCTCACAGAATCTATTGGGAGTGCATGTGCTGCTGTACTATGTATACTGTATCTTTGTGTATGGGTGATCTTCTCTGGAGGTGGTGGCCTTGTGGTGTTTATCTGAAGCTATGTTGTTCTATTTCAAAAAATATATTCTAATTTTATTTAATGTGCAGAAATTGTTTGAGCTTCTTTTTACCCCCATTTTGTTGGGGTTTTATTTTTTGTTTGTTTGTTTTTGTTTGTTTTTTGCAATGCTGCATCTCCCAAAGCATGCTGGGAGCTAAGTGATCATTATGCGTCATGTTCTGTGGGCAGCTTTATAGAGAATCAGGTGGGTGACAAGGGGGGAAGGAGTGTGCATGCAATTGTCATTACGTGTTTACTGTACTTTTCTGAGTTGTGATATCAGCATTGCAAAGCCTATTGTCTTTTTTGAACAATAATTTTGACTTTGATATTCCTAATATATATTATATAATCACTGTGTTTTCCTTTCAGTGCAATGCATTTTTAAGACAGTCCCACCCCCCTACCTGACGGCAAGCTCAGGTGAAAAACGCCATGATAGGAAATAATTAGCAGGCATTGAAATATCTAGAAATCCAGTCTTATACAACATGCACTCACATATGTGATAATGTTTTAGTTCCCCATTTTCTCTTAAGCCATTCTATTATTGTGGCTATTATTGTGGATATCCAGCTATTTTTCGGTTTGGAGGTTAAAATTAAAGTGCCATTAAGAAGAAAAGCCTTTGCCTGTATTTATCTTCCATAATGCATTTCATTTTTATTTTTACTTCCTGTAATCAAAGGATTAATACCCATGCTGTTCTCCCTTTAGATATATTTTTAATCTAAATTGGACTATTAGGAACATAGCTATCCCTATTCCAGACTACGAGCCCAAATGAAGCCACAGAGAATGCTGTGGAATCTAGTCTCCTGTGTTATGACAGAAGAACTGAAGATAAAAGACAGAACTGGGCATGAACCAAAACCAAGAAACATGAGGCTTTCATAAAAGAAACATGTTAGAGGGATAATTTGTATTGATTTTAAGAAACTCTTGGTCTTTTATTTTTAATATCTTTATTATAAGAAAATCAAATTTGGTGTATTTTGCTTTTAAAACTGGACATCCACACTTAAAGGAGCCCTAAGATACTTTAATTCAAAAGATTTACATTTAAATAGGTTATATGTTATGCAGTCACATTATAATTATAGAATCAAAGGTGGTTGGCTTTGCTTTTGGTTTTTGGTTTTGTTTTTTTTTTTACAAGTACTACATTATTTTTATGAATCCAGCATGCATCTTTAATCAAAATGTATTACCTGAATTTAAATGATGTGAATAGTAAAAGAATAAACAATTTTATACTACTTTCTATTTCCCCACTTTCTTCCACGCCTGTTTTTTTCTTTCTTGATCTAAACAACCATTTTTTAAAGCCATAAACATTGAATATTCTGCTTTTATTTAAAGAAGAAAACTAATGACTCCTAGAAGGAGATGCTACCAATGGTCACGGAGCACATTTCATGCAACAGTAATGAGCCTTTTCATACAAAACCTTCTCTCTTCAACTTCCATCTTCTGAGGATTTCCATCTTTCTCATTATGAAAGTGATAATACACTGAAATATAGAGCAGATAAAGCAAAATGAAATGGTTATTTTTAAATGGTAAAAATGCTATTTTTATGTATTTATTGACATTCTGTACCATGACTCAGTTTACCACAGCTCAAGATTTATAGACTGGAGTTCAACACCTAAGCAGTCACTCACTTTTCTGGCTTTTTTTTAAACACACCTGATAACCTATGTATTAAGGAAAAAATGGAAACATGTTTTTCAAATCAAAATAAATTACCTAAAGGAAATGGAAAGTTCATTTTAATGGCAATAGTATTTCTGAGGGACGAAAGAGAGGTCTATTATTCTGGATTTCGATAAACGTTTTTATTTAAACACTTGGATAGAATTGCTTCCCTTTACCTCAGCAAAGTAGAGCAGCTTCAGTAGTGACATGTGAAGGGAAGCCACACTGAGCAGCAAAGACAAGAGGGGGAGGGGACATTCTGCTGAGTTCTTAGGAAGTGGCAGTTGTTTCAGAGGTGCGCAGAAGGGAGGATGGTGCTTGAGGTTATTTTCCCTGAAGATTATCTCTACTGCAAAAGTAAAGTCAGCCTATTACATGACCTTTAACCATTTCTTTCTTACTATTTCCCTCCTTGCCTTTTAAAGGAAATTAAAACTGAAAGAAGCTTCTAGAATAGTGAGATGCAGTCAGTCACAGGAGAGAAACCAAGTAGAATCTTCCTTCTGCCATTTAATATATACCTCCTCTGATTAGAAGGCAGATTATCTTGATTTGCTCTGGGGATTTTAGATAGGACAGATAATGACATGGCAGGAAGAAAAGAACTTTCTGAAAACATAGGAGTAGTTAACTTGGTCAGTGCTTTTACTTTCTGAATATCTGTCCTTCATCCATATTCCTAGGATGGAACCAATGCCCTATTATTGAGTAGAAATTATTCCTGAATTTCTGAGCCCAGTGTGGTTGTACACATCTATAATCCCAGCACTTGGGGGTGAAGGCAAGAAGAGGCCAGCCTAGACTACATATTCAAGGCTCTTATCTTTAAAAAAAAAAAAAGGAAAGGACATAAGATGTTTTCATTCCCACTACAGTTTCTCACCTTCCCACTTTTTCCTCTTCTCACTTGTGGAAACAGACACACACACACAAACACAGGGCTATCTTTAAGGCAAGTGAGCCATGAAGCTTAAGTTGAAAGAAGATATCTGAAGAGAAAGGAGAAGCAATTTGATAAATGGCTTCACCAGAACTCCCCTAGAGAGCCAATGACACAATCTTAATTTTCCATTGATGGTACCATTCAGAGAAGGAATATCAAACCATTTGTAAACCATTCCAGACCATTTCATGTGCTCCAGAATAGCTAACCAAGATCCAGTGCTGACAGTGTCATGAAAACATGCAACCAGGCTGTAACTTCTTCTTCACTTTCCGCTGTGTCTGACCACAGGGCTGTTCTTCACCTATCGTGGTGAAGTTTGCTGATACTCAGAAGGACAAAGAACAGAGACGCCTCCAACAGCAACTTGCACAGCAGATGCAACAGCTCAACACTGCCACCTGGGGGAACCTGACAGGGCTGGGCGGACTTACCCCACAGTACCTGGCGGTGAGTGCTGGTCTTGAGGATCTATGTGAAGGAAAGGAATAAAACTGGAGGATCTAGGAAGCTAAGTACAAGGAAGAATTTGTTTTCCATTCATTTTGAGTCTTGGGAATTATTGAAATCGCCATTTAGGCAGAAAATTTTTTCCAAGTGAAATTGATTAGCGTAAGTTCATGACTAACTTAACTCTTGTTTGATGTAGGGCGGAAAAATTCACCTATGCTAAACTTGTTACAAGTGTTTCAAAGCCTGTGTTAGAAATGACATTGTGTGTTTGACAGCTGGTTAAGTCAGCTAAGAGGTAGTGAGTGCCTCTAAGTGTTTACTTTTGGTTCCGCTCCTGCTAAACCATACTTCTACCCCCACTAAGTTTAGACCTTTTTATTCAAGCCTGAGAGAGTATGCATATGTGCCTGTTGTGTCCTAATTCTGTCATTTTACATTTTAACTATATCTCTCAGGATTAGATCATCCATTAACTGTACTTCATAGCAAAAATTCTGTTATGCAGGGCAGTCCCTCCCTGTGCCTTGAAAGGTGAAGTGATATTGCTTGATGATTAGGTGAGGAAAGGGAAGCTCAGACCACACAACTGCTAGTAATCTGTGTGGTTTCAGATTAACCATCTCCACAAACTTGTGCTGGTCGAGTATTTACAGACCATCAGTTTACTTGTATGTACCAGAATTTTTATCCAAGATTGATGTTATGCTTACTTTTTCATACTTTGTAAGAGTCTACCTTCCTGCTCCCCTATTTGGTAGAAACTCTGCCTTTCAGTATTCTGACATATTTTCTATGCCCACAAAAATCTCTGGATCATCTGCAACATATTTCTATACCCATAAGAGAATTTCACGTATAAAAATGTCTTTTGATATTTTTGAGCACCAAGTTTTTCTTAGACATATTTTACTGCTTCAGTCACGTGAAAGTTCTGTTCTCTGAAAGAGCTCTTAGCCAGTAAGTCATTCTCCTGCCTCTTGGGTGAGCCATAGATTTGAAGCCTGGCTTACAAAGTATTGATTATCCATTTAAACAATTCTTAGTGATGATTTCATGACCTTCAGGTACTTACATTTTTCTCAACAGGAGTTATTAATTCCTCAAAATAAAAAAATAATTTAACCTTAATTTTTAAAACATGTAAGTTGAAGAAAGGGCTGCAATTTGTAAGCATCAGAAAATGATAAATTCAACAAATTAAACCACAGGAAAGGATTTCTGTATTAAAATAGATAATCTGGGGCTGGGGAGGTGGCTCAGTGGTAGAGTGCTTGCCTTGCATGCATGAGGCCCTGGGTTCGATTCCCCAGTACCACATAAGCAAAAAGAAAAAAGCCGGAAGTGGCACTGTGGCTCAAGTGGTAGAGCGCTAGCCTTGAGCTGAAGAGCTGAAGGACAGCACCCATGCCCAGAGTCCAGGCCCCACAACCGGACCCCAAAAAAAATAAAATAGATAATCTCTACGTTCTCCACTTCTCTTCCTCAGTTTTCCTCTGTGTGTGAGAGAGCGCATTTGTGTGCACACACAGAGTGCATATGTAGTATGTTCCCAACTAGGAGAGATGAGTGAACATGTCATACATGTTTCTTGATTTTACTACCAGTAGACATGAAGTCTTATAGTACCACTGTAACCTGAAACAGGTTCACAGCCACTGACAGCCCACCATGCTTGGTGCTATGTCACTTTTTAGTTATATAAGTTGTAGAGTTTATCTTATTAAATTGACTTTATATTTACCAATAAACAATAGTGTTTTACCTTATGTTTCACACAGCTACAGATATATTCAGAAAGTTTTTTGAAAATCATAAATTTATCATGTTTCTCTTGAGCACGTACTATTAAAACAATTTTTCAACGAGAAATACGGTAAGTATACAACATACATATTGGAATATAGGAGGTAACTATATTTTCCCATGTACAAACTAATGTACTATCTGTATTGATCAAGCTATATGTATTGATCTTTTACCAAAAAAAGAATGTCTATACATCTAGTTAAAATCTTAGAATAACCCAAATTAACCTACAGTTCAACTGAGTTGGACCAAGGACAGGAATACTTCAGAACCTTTATCATGTGGCACCCACTAATTCTACATGGCAGGAAAAATGTGGTTTTGAAAGCTATAGGGGGAAAGTACACACTTTCACAGGCATATTAATTATGAAGCGTAACTTCTTTGTACATAGCATTCCAGATACTTACAAATCATACGTTTCTTTAAGCCAGTGAACACCATCTTAAGAACAGCATTTTTTGGCTGGGAAGGTGGCTCAGTGGTAGCGTGCTTGCCTTGCATGCATGAAGCCCTGGGTTTGATTCCTCAATACCACATAAGCAGAAAAGGCTGGAAGTGGCGTTGTGTCTTAAGCGATAGAGCACTAGCCCTGAGCTGAAGAGCTGAGGGACAGCGCCCAGGCCCAGAGTTCAGGCCCCACAACCGACAAAAAAAAAAAAAAGACCAGCCTTTTTTTTTTTTTTGCCACATATGGCTGAAGCTACAACTGTATGTCTGAAAGTCAATAAAACTTACATGTAGAGTCATTGTAATGATCATTATGTTGGCCTAAAAGTTAATGAATCCATGTGCATCTAATGAAAGATAAAACTGAACTGTGAAGGAGAGAACAATAGATGACGGTATGAATCTTGACTGACAGAGATGAGTTACAGAAACTACTAGACTACAGAGAGACATAATTAGTCATGCTATGTTGGTTTCAATACATTTAACACCTGGTTGTTAAAAAGAGTAAATTGATTGTTTTAAGGCAGTACTGTTGTGTTTCCCTCTTATCTGTGCTTCTTAATAGAGATTAGATATTAATTTGGTTTTACAGCCCCAATTCTGGGGACCTTCTCCATTAACAGACAATGGTCGCCAACTATACAAATGTAAAGGAAAGTTTTGGTGTTACTATGCTCTCATCTTCACATGGTTCTGACTTTGCACCTTGTGTTCATTTTCAGCTTCTCCAGCAGGCCACCTCCTCCAGCAACCTGGGTGCATTCAGTGGCATTCAGCAAATGGCTGGTGAGTCATGAAACATACCTTTCCTTTTGACCATACAGTTGCTAAATTGGGGGTTGGTTTAGAGGGCAAAGGAAAGAAGTAGAGAGAAAGAGAAGTTTTCAGATGAACTGGTTTTATAAGTATGGAAAAAAATAGAATCATCTCTTTCTTAGTGGTCCTCCTAAGTGTACTTTGCTATCCCCATCCTTCCTTATGTGACAGTTAGAAGATGAAGGGGCTATAAATTCCTACACAGTGTACACTTTAGCTGTTTGTGGAATTTTTATTGTTGTTTTAATGGGATTGATTACTGGGAGATTTCCAACATATTCTATATATGGGGCAGCCAAATTGATTGACATCCCTGTAAAATAATAATAAGCAGTCAGTAAAAGTGGCCGAACCCCTATAAGGCAGAAAGCCAAGATTGCAGGCCTGTGTTTGATAGTTTTTAGTCCCTTGATAATGACAGACAATTAACAGGATGCCTTTTTTACTTTAGTGCCCAGTTGACAGAATTGTTCATCGGAAGCTTTTATGTGGAAGTTAAATCTTTGTTCTAAAGAAAATCAAAGTGGAACTCTCTTTGAAAAACAGCTCATTGAAGGATTTCTTTTCATAATGAGCTGTGCCAGTAGTTGCTGTGGCACAGTGATTAGCAAAAGGTCAACCCTACTGTGCCTCCTCCCATGCAGGTACCCCACCGCAGCACTGGGCCAAGGAGTCAGAACACAGGTGCCCATTAACCTGCCAGGAGGAGCTGGTAGAAAGCTTTTTCCTTGTTTGGTTCCAAAAGGGTAGGGAAAGAAGGCAAGGAATAGAACAGATTTTTGGCATATTAAAATGAACACTGTTTTCTTTAATCAGGGACACCCTGAATTGCTGAAAAGAAACCTTAAGTATATAGCATAAAAACCAGATTTTTTTAATCTGTGACTATAATATTTCTCTTTTTTTCTAATAGGTACCCTTAGGGTTTTTTTGTTTGTTTTTCTTTTCATTTTGAGTGAATCTGGAAAGATTTGTAGTGAAATTTAATTTCTTCCTGTATGTGTATGTGTATGTAGATGGTTAGCCAGGCTAATAGTAGCTCTCATCTGATGAGCTACATTGCCCAACAGTAAAAATCATGCTGAATGACTTGTTCAGTTTCACATCTGTTGAAGCTACCCTTTTGTTCTGCTGCAACACCATTTTTGGATTATTAAATATATAGATGATATATATACTTACATACCTTGCATAATAAATTATAATTATATAATTATCATTGTACCATATGTAAGTATACAGTTCAGGATACTGGCATTGGAGCTAAGATTAGTAAAAATATTCAGTAGGTGTTCTGTGTTTTTAATGAAAAATCTCAATGCAAGCTCCTGAAATAAATGCTAAGATTCGTCATATTTTCAGCTGATAGGAAGTTCATTTTTCTTCTAGTCATACAGATCAACTGAAATCCAAAATTTCAAGTTTTCCTCAGAGAAAGCCTCAGGCTCTCTTGCTCCCACCACTGAATTATGCAGAGAAGATTACTTAGTCCTGAGGCTACTGCCCAGTGTGTCTTCCTAGGTGGACCAAGTGCCCTGTTATTTTTCATTAGAATGTGTATGCCTCTACCATGCAAACCACAGGTCAAAATATTAGCATTTACATGCTCTGTTTGCTCATTTGAAAACCAGGAGTATCTTATAAGGTGCCATGGAACAGATGGCTAACTTAAAGACATTCTATAAATGCTTTGATCTTTCCAAAATATTCATTTCTGGAACCTCAACATGTTAAACTCAACACACTGAGTCTGCAAGCCTATAAAATCACATCCTGAGTAATCCATTGTCTGCCATCCATTCAAAATGTAGGTATGTAGGCTTTTTCTGCTTTCCATAAAAGCTGTTCCTCATTTATATAGATAGTTGTATCGTATTCTTAAGTATGTGAAACATTGTGATTTGGATTTTTTTTTCCTTAATAAAGGAAAGTTATGTAGCCTCCTCTTCTACTATTGTCTTGTCCTCAAAGTAGGATTTAACTTTTGTTCTAGCCATTAATCTGCACAAATATTACAGAGTGAATTCTGGTGGATTGGTAACACAGGTTACGTCCTAGAGATCTTTCCTGACTTCCCCAAATGTGAGAAGGGCTCTTCCCTAAAGCTCTTTCCTTCCTCCCTTACAAGTGTGTGGAGTTCTCTCTAATTCAGAGCCCCAAACCACACACTGATCCCCAGGAGAGCCTGGGCTGGGCTGGTGGCTGATAGCCCAGCCTTTCCTCCTCTAAGAGGTGCTAGTCACTGCATTTGAATGCATGGATGAAGAAATTTGTAAACTGATACACAAATTTGTATTTTGGATGCATTCCTGGTAGAACTTAAGTCAAATGCCCAGTTTTTGAATTAAGAAATTTGGCTTTAAAACTAGAAAGCATTATATAAACTAATGTCACAAATCTTCATCAATGGGTTATTAAGGATTTGGAGGTGGTTTGTAAATAATAGAAAACCTGTTACCAAGCACATTGTACATAACAAATACAATAGAAGCCATATAATATAATATGATAGAAGGAACACAGGATGTTACTTTTCCCCAGCTCACCTGATATTAAAAAATGATACTGATACTGTGACATAAATTGAACATACACAATTCATATTTAATTTTTATGTATTCCTGTGGCATATTAATTAACTCAGGTAGTCTGTCTTGGAACACTATCGCCAAAAAGAGTGAAATACTTTGAAAATTAATCATGTTTAACTATGAACATCTCTCCAAAAGAGGTGGTCTAAGTAGTTATGATGACATAGGCCTCTAATTCTAGCTCCCTGGGAAGTGGAGGAGAGAGGATCTCATGTTCAAAGCCAATAAAGGAAAAGTTAGTAAGACCTTTCTCAAAAAGAAAAGCAAAAGGACTGGGAGCAAAACTCAACTGGTAAAGTACAAGACAAAACCCTGGGTTCAATCCCCAGTACAGGACTGGGGAGAGAAAAAAAAATAGAGGATTCAATCGTTTAGAAGATTTAAGGTTTCTAGTTAGAGTCTTAAAATGGCTCATTTATATGAGGTGAAAATAAAATCAGCCCAAAAAAGCAAACAAAAGAAATTTTAGACAACATTTACTAAGCAGTTAGAAGACCTAATGGAACATCAACTGCATTTTACTCCAGAAAAATCTTACTATTTTCCTTTCAAACTAAAAGTAATTACAAATGTATTTTGCTATTTCTATGAAAGGGAACCTTTACTAAATAAGGAATTTTAAAGCAGAAAATGTATTTAAGATCAAATCTTTATACGCTGAATCCTTTTATGTCTACTATGTCTCCTTGAAGTTGATTGATTTTATTTTCCCTCTTAAAACTTTTAATAAAGATACCTATTTCTAAATTTGTTGCTAGTATTTAATATATTTCTTAAATCTGAGAAACTCTTGAGTTTCAGCTAAGAGCCTAAATTTTCCTTGAAGGAATAAGGGAAAAGTGTCCTTTGATCTTTAATTTCTTTATAACATATAGCATACATCAGAAGATCATTGTGATGGAAAAATAAAGGTAGTACTACTTCACAAGTTTCTGTCTAGTCTAGCTCTTTGTAATAATCATGTAGCTGATTTTCACAGAACAAGGACAATAGGAAAATGGAAGTAAGAAATAAGTTTAGGAGATTGCAGCACCAGTAAGTGGCGTGAGAAATAGGATACACAACTCTGAAATACCACAACAGCTTTAGGAGTTAGTGACTGTTGGTACTCCATTTTACAGATTGACAACTAAAGCATAGAATAAAGACACATTAATAAACATGTCCACACTTTATTAAACTAAGCTATTAGCTGTGTATCTATATTACAAGTTCAAAACCTGAGCTGTCTATTGCCCCGTAGAACTTATGAAACATTGCTCTGTGTCCCAGCCAATTTAGGTATAAACAAAAGTTTCAGTGATTCATCTATACAAGTGGGCTGAACTCTGAATGTACAAAGAGCCCCAAAACTGCTAAAAGAAAGCAAATGCCTCCATGCTGGAAAATATTTCCATTTTACTAAAAGAAAGCTCTTTGTTGGAAGAGGTTTTTGTTTTTCCTAGAATAAGGTATTATTAATCACAGAGATTTAGAGATAAAAATGAAAAGAAATTACTGTTGATGAACAGGAGGGAACTGCTTCATTTTTATTCTGATTTTCTTTAAAGCTAATAGTAAGTAACACCCTTTAAAGTAACAATAAAATTGTAGAGGGCAAATATTTGCTTCAAACAACAAAACAGATTTCCCTTTGTCAATGTGAAATCCACTCCCTGAGAATACTGACTAAGAGTGTCTGCGCGGTGCAGAAGAGGAAGAACACTTGCCAAAACAATGTGTGGGAGGTCTGAGAAGCTCCAGTTGGAGCAGCTCCCAGCATGAAGTGTGCACCATAGCTCCACAAAGACCCTGTGTTCTTCCCTAGGTCTCCAGCAGTCCACACCACAAACACTTCCTGCGAATGTGCTAATAGGCCTTATGAGAATGTTCTATAACCACCCATCTGTCACTTTTTACCAGACCTGATTGGCAAGCACTTGTAACAACTGACATCTGTTCTTGCTTATTGATATGCAGATTTATGGTAATTGCCACAAACAATAAGACACAAAATTACCTAAGGTGAACATTAAATTAAATTTTTGTGCCCTTCTCCTTATAATTTTTTTAATCTTAAGTTTCAAGTAGGCATATCATCTGTTTGCAGCACAATTTCTTTGTTTTGAGAAGGATTTTTGTTTTCCAAATACAGAATGAAAAGTTGAATTCTTGTATCCCCAGCCTTTTCCCCTTGTGCTGTATCATAGCAGCTCACTGCTTGATTTCTTAAAACTTCAGTGCTCCACAAGTGTAGTCACCTAGACTATTGCGCATAGTTTGAGGGGTACCCAGCTGGAGCACAGTGCTTCATGAAGTTAAATGGCATCATTTTTCTTCTCATAAAAGCTATTTGCTAAGCCAGAACTAGCTTCCAGAAGGGTGACAGGCGCCTCTCCG